TTCTATGCCATTGGGTTGTCTGATCCCTGCACCCATATGGCATACGCACCGCAAGGAATCCTTTTTGGCCTACCTTCCTTTAAAGGGGAAAAGAAAGAAATCTTTAAAAAATCGCTTCCTTGCTCTGTCTCTAGTTCTATCTGGGAGAAAGCTTTCATCCCCCTTCCCCCCTCAAAAGGTATAGTACATCAGCACTAACTAGGCTTTAAAACAACAATGAAGAACTTTGTTCCCACCTTCTTCCCCCTCCACAAAGAAACAGCAGTTAATTTCCCAATATTGTTAAGTGGCTAATCTGTCTGCTTAAGCCACTTAATGATATTGGGACATAGAAAGTGGATGGAAATTGAAAGCGATAAGCTCCACTTTGGTTGGATCCCGGTGACCGCCTGTGCTGGAAGTCAACCAGAATGGAGCAATCCTATCAACATTGAAACACACATACAGAAAAACCAATGGTCCCTGAGAGGTATCAAGGACAGGCTGGTTGGTGATGGCACTTGCATCATGTGGTTACTGGGAAAAGAAGCAAACCAGCCTGTCTCTGGAACGGACCAAACAGAGGGACTTAAAGGATCAGCTTGAGGTACGGCAGTGACCTCAGGTTTTCATCTGGGGACGTCAGCTGGGTTGTCTTGCTCCAGCTCTGTCTATGAAGCGAAGGCCATGCTTGAGGTAAATGCAATGGATGTGGCAGCTTCCCCATCTAGCCAGGATGATTTTTTGGACCTTTCCATTTTCTTTGGCTGTCTCAAGCCCTTGAGGAAGCATCCAGCAGCATTCTGAATGTTTGCCTGGTTAGGAGGTGTCCGTGGTCCACCACGGCTTTGGCCACTCCTGGTCTTGGACGTGGCCTAAAATCGACAGCTTCTAAAATGTTTGTTCTGAAATTTAATCTCAAACAATTTGGGGCGTTTGTGGGGGTTCATGTGTGTATTATTGAGAGACAGTATTGCCTGGTCAATGCTGGCGGAGCCAAAAAAACATACAGGGAAAACTGGCCAAAGCTGATATTGCACCTTGCAGAGGTTCGAGCACACTGCTGGTGTGCTACTGCGGATGCTAGTCATCATCATGGAAGAGACCCTCTAGATCATGGAGTCCAGACCCTGTTAGGGAGGCCCATGGTGGGGAATCGAACTCCCAACCTCTGGCTCCACAGCCAGAGACCTCAGCCCCTGAGCTCTCCTGCAGCTCCAGTTTTGACCAAAACCTCCCAGTAAATGCCTGTAAATGTATCTCATCGCCCACTTCCCGAGCATCTCTCCCCACCTGCACCTAAAGCAACTCACCTGCAATCAGCCATATGGAGAACCGCAGCCAGGTCATGTAGTTGAGTTTCAGCATGAGATAGATGTTGATGAAGATGCTGAGCGCCGGCGTCAAGGGCACCAGCGGCAGCTGAGGAGGAAGCAGAGACCGGGAGGTGAGGAAGAAGGGACCAGACGGATCCGTTTGTAGCTTTTCTGCCCTTGCCGTAGAGGCAAAGGTTGGGGGGCTCAGGGCGACTGGAGGATTTTTGCTGGGCGTGCAACACACCCTTCTTTCAACCCTTCGGGCATTGCTTATCATCTGAATGGCAGGGATGGCAACTCAAGTCATGGGACTTGTGGTCAAGTCATACTTAAGTTGCACCGGTGACTTGATTCGCAACTGGGAACCCGCCCACCCCGCCCCTTACCCTTTCTGGGTCATCTCTACCTGGAAAACTGGGAATACTATTAGGTAGGCAGTGAGTGGTTTATCCTTCCCTTCTTTTAGAGCCTTTCTGGGATTGAACAGCTGGCCCAAGGCTACCCAGGCTGGCTTTTCCTCCCAATTGGGGAATCAAACTCCCAACCTCTGGCTCCAGAGCCACTGCGCTATCCAGCCAGCTAAGCGTGGCCATTCTAGAACACGGAAACCCCTCTCTCCAGCTTTAAGACCGTGGAGCTAAAATGCAGGAATGGAGGGGGTGCAGCTTTCGCCTCCACTCCCATCCACTCGTGAGTGGCCTGCGAGAAATCCCCTGGAGCTAAATGTGGCTGTTGACACACACACACACACACACACACACACACACCCGTCCTGGCATCCGCCCCCTTTACCTGGAACGTCTGTGTGCTTTGCTTTTGCTCATGGACGCTGATGAGAAGCAGACTAGACAGCAAGGCCAGGCTGAAGAGCAGCACCAGCAGAGCGTAGCTCCAGGTGGGCAGATGCAGCTGGTTCCTCCCAAACACCAGGGTGGCCGACAGGCAGATAGCCGAAACCATGAGGATGACCACGGCCACGGTGACCACTTCCCCTGGGTAGAAATCGCTGAGGAAGTCCAGGTAGGGTTCGAAAGTGGCCTTCAGTTGCCCAGGCTCCCGGGAGCCTTTCGATTTTTCCTTGCCCACCAGCTGCAGCTTGTCGGAAAAAGATTCGTATTCCTTTGGCTCCGTGGTGCTGAGGGTCTCCGCGGGCGGTGGGGTGGCCTCGCTCCCCGCCGGTGGGTTGGGGGCGCCCGCCTTGGGTTGCTGGAAGCGCAGGATGATCACGCTGGCCGCCACGAAGGTGTAGGCCAAGAGGGTGCCGATGGATAAGAACTGGACTAGGGCTTCCAGGTCGAAGATGAGGGCCAGGACGGAGGTGAGGAAGCCGAAGACCACGATGGCCACCACGGGGACCTGCGTGCGGGGGTGGACGCGGGAAAAGACCTGGAAGAAGAGGCCGTCCTCGGCCATGGCGTAGACGATGCGGGGGAGAGAGACGAGGTTGCTGAGGAGCACGGTGTTCATGGCTAGGGAGGACACGGAAAGGAACAGTGTCAGAAAGTGTTCGGAGTTTTTGCAACCTTGCATCCTGCCTTTAGTAGGTTTGCCTGGGAGCTCCCTTCCTTGGCTGAAACAACTGTCAATCAGTCCAGCAGTCACCAATCATTCCTTCCCTGCCGAGGGCGCCCCACCTCTCTGCTTAAAGGTCTTTCCCCCCCTCTCTTTTAGTTTGCTGGCAGTTTGTGCGGAGTTAGTATCTTAGAAGGCAGTTTGCAGGAGTCTGCTGGAAGCAGGCTGTGCTGAGGCCTGTTGCTATCTCAAACAGTCATTTTTGTACAGTATGCTGTTTTGACCTGTCCAACTGTGAGTAGAGGAGACCTTTTTATTCTTTCTCTTACCAATGTTTCAGTGTGAGTTATTGTAAGTGCCAATTGATGAGGCCATAAGGGCTGGTCTGCTCTGGGGAGACTTGAAGGTAATTTCACTCCTTACATCCTTGCACCTCTGCTGTGCACCTTGAGGAAATTTACCCAACATTCGAACCTCTGCAACAGAAATGGCCACTGCCGTGCCAGTTGGTTCTCACTGGAACAAGATGAGTGAGGAAGAGACGTGGGAGCTGGGAAGCCCCTTGCAGCCTAGGAGCCACAGCACTGTGGAGATGGAAGAGGTCTCTAAAGGTCATCTAGTCCCACCCCTTGAAATCCATAACTGCAGCTTCTTTGGAAGATGGCTGTCTAGTCTCCATTGGAAAACCTCGGAAGAAGGAAGGCCCACTGCCTTCCAGAACTGCCTCATTCCCTCTCAAATGGCAGCTGATGTCGGGAATATGCGATCTGCCAACTGGATGAGGCCAAAGAGAGGAGCTGCACCCCCCTGGCCCATCAACAGTGCCCTCATGCCTGGAACACTTGGGTGTGTGTGTCTGGGGAAGCCCCTGGGGAAGGGGGTAATCAGGGCATGGGGGTGTAAGACTGACTGGGTTCAGGACAGGACTGGCCACCATGCAGCCTTGTTCTAGTAGCCAGCAGGCTCCAGGATTAATAACCACGTGCCGTCGAGTTGATTCTGACGCACGACGACCCTCTCCAGGGTTTTCCATGTAGAGAATCTTCAGAAGTCATTTCCCGTTCCCTTCTTCTTCTGGGAGGGAATCCCTGGGACTGTCGTGCAGCCAACCCAAGGCCACCCAGGTTGGCTCTTCTCTCTGGAGGCACACAGTGGGGGAATCAAACTCCCAAACTCTCGCTCTGCAGCCCGGGGACCTAACTCAACTGAGCTAGCCAGATGGCTGTCTCCCAGGCTAGTCCACCCAAATTAATCTTGCCCCGGGGGGGGGGGGGGAGAGACAAAGTGCTACTCTTGCAAGCCTCCAGGACGGTGATCTGTATTTAATACGTCACAGCCTCCCGTGCCTTTTAACACCAAACAGTTTTACGTTTATTTCAAAGCCGGAAGTGGAATTCTAGCTACTCCTGTCTTCGTTCCTTTTCTTTGACCCTCTCCACAACACTTTTGGGGGGTCCACATGACTCCTAGAAGATCCCAGGGATATGAGAAATCAACCCACAGAGTCCCCCCCCCATCCCTGCCCATAGTTTAGAAGGAAATATACTTTTCTTATACTTTGCCATCTTGGACCTATAATATACTGTATGTTTTTGGTTTTATTGTTTCTAAATTTGTAAACTGCCCAGAATTGACCTTTGGTGGGCCAAAAGGCAATTTATAAATAATTTTATGAAGAAATAAAAATTTACCTTCCTATTTTCTCTAATTAAATCTTGGGATGCCGAGGGAGGCCCGTAGAGAAAGAACAAGAAGCCGGGCCTTCTCGGCAGTGGCCCCTCGCCTTTGGCACTCCTGTCTTCGTTCCTTTTCTTTGACCCTCTCCACAACACTTTTGGGGGGTCCACATGACTCCTAGAAGATCCCAGGGATATGAGAAATCAACCCACAGAGTCCCCCCCCCATCCCTGCCCATAGTTTAGAAGGAAATATACTTTTCTTATACTTTACCATCTTGGACCTATAATATATTTTTGGTTTTATTGTTTTTCAATTTGTAAACTGCCTAGAATAGACCTTTGGTCTAGATGGGCAGGATAGAAATCCAATAAATAAATAAATAAATAAAATACATAAATAGAAAAGCAGCGGCTCAGACTTACCGCAAAGGGAGCCGGCAGCTACGATGAAGCCAGCCCAGGCGTAACCCCTCCGGTAGAAGGCATCCGCCAGGGCCGAGTCCGGGTCCAGAGAGTGCCAGGGCACCATCAGCGTCAGCACCACGGAGACGAGGATGTAGGCCCCGGTGGCGAGGCTCAGGGCGATGGCGATGGCCCTCGGGATGGCCCGTTGCGGGTTCCTGGCCTCTTCGCTGCAGGTGGCGATCACGTCGAAGCCCACAAAGGCGTAGAAGCAGGTGGCCGAGCCGGCCATGATGCCGGAGAGCCCAAAAGGGGCAAAGCCCCCTTCGCTGGCGCTCCAGTTCTGGGGTCTGGCCAGAATGAACCCCATGATAAGAATGAAGAGGATGACGCCCATGCTGACGGCCGAGAAGATGTGGTTGAGCCAGGAGGAGACCCGTGCGCCAAACGAGATGAAGGCCATGGCGAGGAGGAGGATCCCCGAGGCCAAGAAGTCCGGGTAATGGGCCAGGAAGGGAACGTGCCAAGCGCCCACATGGGTCTCGGTGAAGTTCTTGATCCTGTGGTCAAATATGGCATCGAGGTAGCCGCTCCAGGCCCTGGCCACCGCTGCCCCGCCTATCATGTACTCCAAGATGACGTTCCACCCGATGAGGAAGGCCCAGATCTCGCCCACAGAGACGTACGTGAACATATACGCCGAGCCAGTCTTGGGCACGTGAGCCCCAAACTCCGCGTAGCAGAGGGCGGCCAGCAGCGAGGCGATCCCCGCGATGATGAAGGAGACCACGATGGCAGGCCCGGCCGTCTCCTTGGCGACAGTGCCTGTGAGGACGTAGAGCCCGGAGCCCACCATCCCGCCGATGCCGAGCAAGGCCAGGTCCACGGTGGTCAAGCATCGGTTGAAGGAGGTCTCCATCATGTCCTCTTCCAGGGTCTTCACCCGGCTGAGCTTCTGGCAGAAGCGGCTCAGGTCCGCCGAGCGAGGGAGGCGGCTCACCATCTTGGGGGTGGTGGAAAAAGAGGGGCCTCCTTCCCTCCTGTGGGTGCGACAAAAGAGTTAGGCAGAACAATCTTAGCCTCCCGCTGGAAAGGTGAAGGGAATAAAAGTCACGAAATCAGGTCTTACTCACTGGAATTAGTTCAGCCGGGTGACCATGGGTGCAGGTTTAGACGGGACAGCCCTTCCTTTGAGGGTATCCTGTATTGCAAGGGCTGGTAACGTCCGAATCCCATTCAAAAATGCAAACCCTTAAGGAGGGAGCTCAAAGTCTCTAAAGGTGCACAAAATCCACAGGTAGCTGCACCTGGAGGACCCGCTCAGTAGCAGGTCCTCCTGCTTCCCTGGTCCCTGTCTTTCCTAAAGGCTGATTTCCGTTGTCACTCTGTTCCAACCATCATGGGCTGTCAAGTCAATTCTGATTTATGGCAACCCTTTTTTGGGGGATTTCCCAGGCAGAGAAGACACAGAAGGGGTTTCCCATTCCTTTCTTTTCGGAGTGTCCTTGGACTCTGCAGTTGGCCCAAGGCTACCCAGGTTGGTTCAACTCAGAGGAGGCACAAGTGGGGAATCAAACTCCCAATCCATGGACGGATCCAGCCATCCCTCACTCTGTTTAACCTATTTTTTTTAAAAAAAATCATTTCTAATGACTTGCACTGTATATAAATTTTTTTTTGTTTCATGCTGTCAAGTTGGAACTGATTGATAGTGACCCTAAAAGGACTTTTAAGGTAAGTGGGGTATTTAACAAGTGGTTTTTACCAATTCCAAGGCTGAGTGGAGATTCGAACCCAGGCCTTTTGAGTCCTAGGGGCTATTATTTGCTCCACTCGACCGCACTGGGTCCTCCATGTAGAAATTAGCATGTGCCATTTTACACAAATCAGAGTCCCCTTTCGTGATGTTTTTTTCTGACGATAGGCAAGTCATCACTCTGCAAGCATCTTAGCTCTTGCTTTGTGTGTGTGTGTGTGTGTGTGTAAGGTTGCCAGCAAAGCCCAGGGAAAAGCTATTTCTCACGAATACACATGCCCTTTCCTTTGCTTGTAAACAGGAGCAAAGAAAATATACACCATTAAAGGACTTGTAGAACAGGCTGAGATTATTTTAAAAGAAGAAGAATCTTGTTTGAACAACTAGCTGGTTGTATGGAAAATTTTCCCAGCTGCTGGCAAGTCAGCCTAAAATATGTCAACCACGTATGCAGGTTTAGATGGGACAGATCTAGAAGAAAGGCTTATGGATATTTCCATGGCCGGTTCAGCTTGAGACGGGCCTCATCCAGGCCTCCGACTCAGGAATGTTTTCAGTATCAAGACTCAGGTTGCGCATGCATGAACGATGGTGCATCTGGGCATAGACAGAGTGCCTTTAGCTCCCCAAATGTTTATACAGTGTGTGCATTGGAAAAACACTCGGAAGCCTGGATGATGCTAGATCCACATGTCCGAGGATGTTCTTGTTTTCTTGCACCCAAACTGGGCAGGTTGTAAGTCTGTGGTTTCCACCACCCTCTCCCACAGAGTCCTGACCTTCACTGTGTGCAGAATACTGACCCCAAATGGCAAACATACAATGGGGTAAATCCTCAGGCTTTCTCTAAAGATACTGGTGGAATGACTTTCAGAAGGCGAATCATATGGGGGGGAAAAGGAGCGAGAGCAATAAATGAAGGCAAACGCTGTCCCAGAGGGCTTATTTGTTTGTTTATTAATTTATAGGCCGCCTTCCTTTAGATAAGGGGGACCCAAGGCAGCTCACGATATTAAAAAGAATTGAGTTCAAAATATAATAAATATTAAAACACAAGCCTATATGCTAATTAAAATACAATTGAATAATTAAAAGCAAGTGAATATTAAAAATTATCTTCGCTTTAAAAAGGCCACCTTATCCACAGGGATACTTTAAAAAAACTTGCGCCAAGTGGGTTTGGGGGTTTATTTTTTGACCCCACGAGAATTCCAGTTCATTGAGGAGGGTGGGTCCTTGGGTTTTACTTAGCGACTAAATGATAATACTATATCATACAGTACTTTCTTATCTCCTTGTAATAGGAAAAGGAGGTTCTTTACTACTTATGAGCATTGACAAGTTTATTGTCATATTTATTATCATAAAGATTGTTCTTATTGACAAGCATCGCGGAATCTTTTTTGGGGGGGGCAGCACAGGAGTTTACTTAAAGAAACCATTTTTATTCCCTCTGCTATAATTCTCTGGCTGGGATAGTTCACATAAATGTTCGATAAAACTTGTGAAATCCAGGAGTTGATCTAGTTTCTAAGCCACTGATGCCAGAAATTCTGAGAAGCTTATTTGGGAATAAAGGCGAGATAAATAAACAAAGAAAAAAAAATACATAGGATAAATTGGTATTCCCCCCCCCCTACATGAATATAATTTTTTGATTTTTAAAAAAAATGCAAATTAAATACAAAGAGGGACTTAACTTTCTCTGTATGATCATCCCCAGGGAAGTCTGCTTTCAAGCTTACCTCGGTTCCTCTGTGGGAACCCAGCATGACAAGAATGGAACTCTGCCTATGCTCAGGGGTGCTCTGCTTTTGGAACCACAGAGTATCCAATACCTACACTCAGATCTCAGGGAGCAGAATTATTTGAGGAGGCAGGCAGGCACCACAGGCCATACCTATATATGGAGGGCAGGCCTGGCTCCAGTTAAAGGGGTGGCCCGAATGCCAGATGCAGGATGGATATTTGGGAACAATTCAGGGTCGAAACAGAGATGGGGCACCTGGGGCAGGTAAGGTGAACTGATCTTGGGTGTGGCCTTGGTGGAGGGGTGTTGAAAACTGACCCCCAGCCACCCACCCATGCTCTATTGCTGCCCGAGGCAGAGTAGCAAAGTGTTCCTGACCCCAAAATCATGACTTCTACCCTCTACCTAGCCAAATTGTTTTGCCACAGGAGACAGGAAACCTTTTAATCCCAAGAAACAAACTGGGCCCTTATTTTTAGGAGAAAGGAGGGATAAAAATGTTTTCAATGAACAAACAAGCAAATAAATAAGTAAATAGTATAGCTCAGTATATACTATTATTTATTTAATAAATCGTCATTCTCAGCCAAGCCTGAACTTTCTCTGGAAGCAAAACAAGGATGCAACGGGGGGGGGGGGCTGGCCTCTTTT